CCGCAGCCTTGTTTCTGGAATTCTCTATGGGAGTTACAGTGAAGAAAATTACTCTCCGGTCTATGTTATAAATGCACACAATTTCAAATATTTTATTACCAAAGGCAAGCCCACTTCTACAGAAAAAAGAAACAGCAAGGGCTGGTTAACACGCTAAAAGCAGAAATCATGTTTTTACTTTCCTTTAAGCACCTCTTCCTTGCAGAAAAACCAACTTGAAAGCGCAGTTGGAAAAATTCAGTTCTTTCTTTTGATGTTATTTTTGGCATCTTCTGATGCCATCTTTGGCACAGAGGTGGGGTGGGGTGGGATGGACAAGGCAGGCAAGGTAGTTAGAGAAATAATTATATATGGTTGTGACCACACAATGTATTTTGCCAATAAGATTCGGCAAATAGTTGAAAACTTATTTTGGCAAAGGGCAGAAAGGAGCCTTCGATAAGAACCTTCTTGTGGATATGGCCGTCCTCACTCAGTCTCTCATGGAGAAGGGGTCCATTTACTCTACAGTTATGTCCCCAGCACACTTTCAAGTCTTTACTTTTGATTTCAACAAGGTTTTTCACTTTCCTCCAAAAAAAAAATTTTTTTTTACCAAAGAGACACTTCACCAGAAGACAAGCAGTTCAACAAAAGAGAGGGAAAAAACGGCATTTAATCACGAATAAGTAGCCAGATGCTTTAAAAAGCACATCTTTTTGTTTTCTTCATGAAATTTCTTTGAAAAGCCCTCTAAATACCTTTCATCTATTCTTCCCCTATGCCTTGATTTTTTTGTCTGTCCTACCATTCAGAAGGCACAGTCACAGAATGAAAATTAATTGAAGACATCCTCTTCTGGTTCCACTCAAGTGCTTACTCTTCTTCAAATACTGGCCATTAAAAACACTTACCAGAGCTCTGCCTGATGAGTAAGTAGAGAAATGACATTTTCCATTTACTTTCCCTTATGGTTCCCCATGCACACGGGTCTCCTAGAAGGACAGTGCTGGGGAGCATTTTGTGGCCCCTGCCCTCCCCTGATTCGGCAGGAGCAGGGATGAAACAACTACATTCATCTAATTTGCATTTATTCCAAGCCATGCTCTAAGAAGGAGAGAGAATCTATAGGCATCTAGCAACTAGATAGGAACGAACTTATGAACACCGGCAGGACAGCTACTGACATAAGGTGACTGACACCTTACACTAAGTCCCGTTGATGCTGACAGTACCTGCCTTGGGTTTCTGTCGAAGTTCACTAGACAAGGTGGTGACAACAGCTGCAGAAGAAGGAATACTTTTAAAGCCTGCATGTACTGAATGCCCGCGGCTAAGCAAAGAAAAAGTGAAATCAACTCTTTTGGAAAAAAGAATTTTATGTGTGAAGAGGAGGCAGGAGGTGCTGTGGGCAAACACCACTTCGCTGGAGACAGTTTCACAAATGCCATCAGACTTTACTACATGAAATCTTTCCAGTATAAATCTTTGCACCTCTACATTCAACTGTCTGATGAATTGTAAAGACACGCTCAAAAGGATGAAATACTTGAATGAAGTGAAAGCCGGGAATAAAATAGTATGTATTGTAATGGCATGAACGAAACAAAAATCAAACACCACTAACATTACCTGCTTGTTCTAGACATACATAAAGCCTCAAATTAGCTCCTTCAAAAAATATACGCATGGTATTTGTTTGGTATATTATAGCTTGACAAGTGCATCTGTTATAATAGGTGAATATTAGTTTCAAAGAAAAAGAGTCATGCCCATTTTGTAGGTCAGTCAGTTCATGCTTTAACCTCCAAAGGCATAGCTGAGAAAAACTCCCTTTTAGAACGAAAGCAAGTAACACACTCCAGATTATTACGGACTTGGTCCTGGGATACCATGTGCTTTGTCTACAGCGAATTACACAGACTTAGTGCTAAATTTTACCTCTAGACAAAATGTGCTACTCATAGAAAACTTCCAAGTGAATGAGACCAGCATACGTTTTTCTTAGGTAATTCTATTTTCATCATTTTTTTTTTTACCTGTAATTGAGGCAAGAGGAAAAGATGGAGCTCATTCGCAATATAAATAACAAAATGACTTTCCTGCTATAGATTTTATTTTCCTCTACAACAAAACCAGGACTTATTTCTGGGGCACAGAGTACTGAATGTCTCTGCAAGGAAGACAGTTTAACAACCAAGGGTACTCAATTTTAAGTGGTGGAAAATGAGCTGCTGTGGAGCCAAAGTACTTAAAAGATCAAAATATCTGTGACTTGAGAGCTGCCTTGCTTTGGAGTTCTCTGGCGTCTTAAAGGTACTGGTAAGCCATTCTTCAATTGCCAAAGGGTGAAGGGAGAACTTGCCACACAGCCCATTTTCTCTGCCAGGCTCCAAGCTGCTTACAACTTTCTGTGATAGAGCTAAAGCTGACTTCATTGATAGTTACAGAGGGATAATAGGAATCAGGTGTTCCTTTTGAACAAGCTAGGAGGAGAGAAGTTATTGAAAACAGATCTCTCTCTCTCTCTCTCTCTCTCTCTCTCTCTCTCTCAAGATACTCCAAATCTCTTAAGCTTAAAGGTCTGGGGCAAACTAAAAATTTTCACACTTGATCATGGCATTTTTCCTCAAGTCATGAAAATGTATCACTTGGTTATAGCCATAGGCTAACAAAATGTGATATTATTTAAGAGTATACTACTGGAAAAAAAAAAAAAACTATTGAAAAAGTGGCTTTTTGCTAAGTGGAAGCACTAATTCTGAGCAACACTCATTTGCAGTGGGGACAGTCTTTGTTCCTCTGGATTCATGAGACTGATTTCACTGTGTGTGGAAACTCTGCCACTGGAGCTGAAACTTTAACATAGAATGAAAATTGTACGAAAAATACATCATATCATAGGAACCTGGTATCACGGGACAATGCGAGGCGCCAAGGCCTGGGTTCAAGACGCTAAGTGTGCAGTTAGTTTGCTGTTTCCAACAGCCCATGCAGGTTCGGCCATGCTGCTGTATCTGTCTGAATTTTTTTTTGAGACAGGGTCTCACTCTGTCCCCCACGCTGGAGTGCAATGGCATAATCTTGGCTCACTGCAGCCTCAGCCTCCCCAGGCTCAGGTGATCCTCCCACCTAAGCCTTCTGAGTGGCTAAGAGTACAGGTGTGCACCACCACACCTGACTAATTTTTGTATTTTTGGAGGGGTATATATGGGGTTTTGCCATGTTGCCCAGGCTGGTCAAACTCCTGGGCTCTAGCGATCTGCCCGCACTGGCCTCCCAAAGTGCTGGGATTACAGGCTTGCGCCATCATGCCCAGCCCATCTGACTTCATTCTATCAATGAGGAAACTCAGGGGATTGACTTCTAAAAGGTTCTCTTCTACTCTAAACTATACTTCTGTCTTTTCCATTTTTAAAGAAAGAAGGTGAAGGTTTAACAAAAATAGAAACTCAGACTCTTCTTTTCCTTCGTGCGGTTCTGACAGGCACAGAATGTACAGGCACACAGCCCAGCTGAAAGAGCTGCCGTGCAACTGTGAATTGTTAGCAGAGAAAGAGAACAGGTTTCATCTGGGCCAAGATGGGATTGGAGAAAGTTGCATCTAGTTTAACAGGCCAAAGTTTCCACTGATTCTCAGAGACCCCTAAAGAAGGTCAGCTCTGTGCATGTAGCATCATCTCCAGCCTGGCTGTTCCTCTGCTGGGCTGGCTGAGTCCTCTCCCTTTTCCTGCAGGACACACTGGGCAGGTGGTGCTGCTCTCTTCCTTATACTCCATCAGCGGCCTCCTGACAACAGCCTTAGCCAGTATTTAATGTTCTCCTCCTTCTTTTCTTTCAGGTTTTGCTCTCACTGCCCCCTTGCAGTATAGTGGAAAGAATATGAGTGATTGACTCACAGAAACATGGGTTCCAATCCTAGCTCTTCCACTTACTAGTAGAGTAACTCTGGAGAAGTTACCTAACTACAATGGGTCTCAGTCTCCCCATCTCTAAAATGGGAATAAGATTAGCTACCTCGCAGGAACTCTTAGGGAGAGCAAAAGAGATTGTACATAATCCCTCAGACTCTAGAGTAGGTGCCTGTTCTCAGTTTCTTTCTTTCCCACTTAACTGTTCCTTTGCTTTTTTTTCTTGAGACAGAGTCTCACTCTGTTGCCCAGGCTGGAGTGCAGTGGCACAATCTTGGCTCACTGCAACCTCCGCCTCCTGGGTTCAAGCAATTCTGCCTCAGCCTGCTGAGGAGCTGGGATTACAGGCACCCACGACCATGCCTGGCTAATTTTTATATTTTTAGTAGAGACAGGGCTTCACCATGTTGGCCAGGGTGGTCTTAAACTCCTGACCTCAAGTGATCCACTTGCCCCGGCCTCCCAAAGTGCTGGGATTACAGGCATGAGCCATTGCGCCCAGCCTCACTGTTCCTTTCCTGAGTCACACCATTCCCTACCCAAGCACTGCCTTTCCCAGCTCCACACTTCACATCTTCTCATCAGGTCCACCACTTTCTCCTCATCCCCTCATGGTCAAATCCCAGCCTCTGAAGATCAACTCAAAGATCACTTCTCCCAGGAAGTGCCCCTTGAGACCTTTTCCTCATCTGACATTCCAAAGAGCTTGGCCTATGTGATCCATATCCTGGGACCAGTTTCTGTATCACCTTATAATTATTTATCTGTCTTTTCTTGCCTATGAGGCTGGATCTGCCATATCCAGCCCAGCTCTGTACCTGAGCGCTCAGCAGACACTTGTTTAGCGAACAAACGTGGCAACACAGGATCAAAAGGCAGCTTCTGACGTGCTTGCTTTAATAAACACAAAGCTTTAGCTGCTGCTCTAAATGAAACATCCATCCAAGAAGACAACGGCCAGAGTCAATGTGAGAGGCGCTCGTGGGGTGAGAAAAGCATCCGCTTTCTGCAGGAGCTGAAAAGTTACGTGAGAAAAGCAGCCCAGGGGAAAAGCGGCAGAAGCCTGGGCCCAGGACAGTGGCTGAGCCCCAGCCGAGACACAGCGCCAACCTGCAGAGATGGAGACCGTCCTGTGCGTCGAATCAGACTTTTGGGATAAAAGAAATCGGATGGAGAACGCCGAATGTTTGGCGGCTGCCATGAAACATGAGAAAAGGGAAGAATGAACACAGGAATAGCCTCAATTCAGAAATAGTATTTTAAGAAAAACAACCTTAGGGAAAACTAACTTGATAGTAAACATCAAGTGAGATTCTTTCACTGGTGTGCATGTGGATTTTTTGGGTCAATTTTTGGGCCCATGTTTAAAAACATATTAACTGGTCTTCAAGTTACAGTATATTTATCTAAGCTCCAACCCCCTTCAATTCCTCTCCATTTATTTTGGCTTAGACATTCTTATAATATATAAAGGATAAGAAGCCAGTGAAGCCAATTGAGAGACATTCTTGAGAATCTGTTGTTACAAATGTCCCATGAGTTTTTAAATATCAAAAATGTGGATTACTCAGTGAGGTTGCTGAAAGATTCTTAAAACATTTTCATTTTGCTATGGAAACTGCACTAATGTGACGTAGTGAAAGGCTTGGAAATCTTGGCTTAAGATTTGTGATGTGTACACACACCCTTAAGAGCACACAAGACGTATTTCTCTGTTCAAAACCTATTCCCTTTAAGCCCCACCAATATCAGTGTGAACCCCGGCTCTGGGCACATGGGAGCTGCTGCTTCACTTCTGGGCTTTCCAAAGACAGTGACCCAGAGCACTGTCTTGACCTCCCAAGTAGTGAATGCCAGATTTAGAAGAAGAGCTTTAGAATTCTCTGGAAGGCTTATTAAAGGAAGAAAACAATAGCTCCTGTTGGCCAGAATGGGTGGAAGTATTTCACTAGTTGCTTTCACAAGCTTATTCAAAGAGTTTCCCATCAAGATGTAATCAGAGTGTTGTTTTAAAATCATTTGAGTCACATGATCTGCAAACTCAAGCAATCCTGATACAGGAAAGACCCACATTCCACTCAGTCTGGCCTCATTAGCATTCCTCTCTTCATCTCCCAAAAGACTGCATCAGAGATGAAGTAAAAATGATTATTAAAAAACCTAAAGGCAACACTAGAGAGAGACTACAAACTACTATAGCTACTTGGGTGGTTTCCGGGCAGCATCTCCCAGCTATGCTATGAACTTTTCATTCTTATGATAAAAACAGTCACAATAAGGACTATCATTCACATTCTCATATTTTATAGAGGTAACTCATTTCCAAAGCATTCATAGTTTCTCAAACAACGCAGAGTCTAGAGTCCACAAACCAGGTGACTCTGCCAGCATGTGACTGTCCAGCTGATGGACTTCAGGCGCCTGTGTGTCAGAAACAGAGAGTAAAACCACCCTAAAATTGGTGGCCAAATTCCTCTTTGGCTGTTCTTACCTTTATTCAATTATTCAGAGAAAAAGTGGTTGTATTTTTTTTTCCTTCCACTTAAGTATGTTCACAAGAGCCGTGCATTCTAAAAGCACTGCTTTTGTTCAGAGTCACAGGGAAAAGACAAGTTCCTGAAATATCCAAATGGTAAAATGTCTCCATCTGACTGATGGACGCGAGTTGAGGAGGAAAAGGAAAAAACAAAAAACGAAAGAAAAATATCTCCTCTGTATACGTGTGGCTCACTGAAGGAATAAAGCAAACACATGAGGAAAATAACAGCTGTATTTCCCAAGGTGACAGGCAAAGGGATATGAAAAAAGGCAGAGCACATGGATCTCGCTGATAATCACTGCTCCAAAGCTGAGTCAGCCCTTCTCAAGTCACACATCAGTGACTAGACCCCTTCAATAAACCAGCTGTGCTGCCGCTGGGGCCACATACATAGCTTCTGGTGCCTGCTAATGGCAGAAGAGATTATACTATGCACTAGAGTCTGGCCTCCAAAATAAATCCAGGCCATTCTTTTCTCTGAGACAGTAAATAGGGTGAAGTCAAACTCCAGTTTTTCCCCAGGTATCACTAAGTTAGGTTAACCTGAGCACTGGGATTCCTTCGGTCTGATTATTGCACTGAAAAATACTTACTAGCCCACGTGAAAAATGGGCATCTGAACACGACAGAGATTATGATCGTGGTTTTATGACTGTGTGCAGGTCTTTGCTTCTGAAACATAAAATATTGCCATCTGGAGGTGTTCTTGTTCTGAGAATTAACTAATTTACCTATCTTGGTTCATCATTATTTTCCCCAAAGGTTTTATCTGACAGGGCATCAGCTTTGAGAGTCTCTTCTGGTGAATTTGGATGCAGTAAAAGGAGAGGTCAGTAAAATGTAAGCAATGGACGTAGGGCTGGGGTCGGAGTCCTGCATTATAGATTCAGTACCAAAAAAGCCTGGTGAGGTCAGCAGATGCTGCAGCTAGCACTTGATAGGTCACTGTTTTCTCATCTGCATGGTTTGACTTTTCCCTTGAATGCTTTCCTAAGAAGCTGACTAGTGAGGCCAAGGTTTACTTTGTTTAACACGAGCATTTAGAACAAAACCCACAATACACTTAAGGTAAGAGGGGATCCCCTTCCCTAGCCAAATGGCCTTTGAACTTAGTTGCTAAGAAAAAAGTCAGTAAAAAGTCATTTCACCTAAACCCGAGTCCCAAGAATTAGTGACCATGAGCACGGGGCCTACAAATGCACCTGGCTTCACATTCTCATTGTTCCCTTACCCGCAGCTTTTCCTCGGTCTTCGTAGATTGCTTACAGTCGGGATGCCAAACGGTGGAACCTGAGGAGACAGAATGCACTGCTAAGGGCCAAGAAAATGGCAAGATGCAAAGTCCTCTTAACGCACTTCTGAGAAAGGCTCCTAGCCGTCTTTCCCCAACACGGGAAGGTGTTACTGCTTCATGCCCAAGTGAATCACAACACAGAAAAATCAGACATGTCCAAAGTCTACGTGAGTTTTTCTGATCTAGCCCAAGCTTGTTGGATAAAGGTCATAATTCTAGACCGCAGAGACCACTAACTGGGCACGAGTCTGTTGATGCAAGACATATTTATTTCTTAATCACGTCTTATTATTTTTAAACCATATTATCATCCTTTAAAAGGAATGCCTGAGTGCTTACTACAAGCTGCATTTAATTTAAAAAATAATAGCCATTGTTTATATAACATCAAAACAACCAAGGAGGTTGAGGGGAATAAAGTGAACCAGAGAGTCTATATCCAGAAGCAAAACTTACTGAATTTTTCACTGATTCACTTATACATAGTCACCTACACAGAAATCAGAAATTAAACAAACTAATAGAAACGGTGAAAGTTATACTAGAAATCCAAAAATGTCCTTTGGCCTTCAACCTTTTACGTAATTTTCTAAAAAGTCTTTGCTTTTAAACTAGTAAAGTAACTATTTAGGTGTTGTTTTCCGTTCCTGGGTCAATAGCCTCACTTTCTCGGATTATGAAGCACTTTTACGCATGGTACCAGCATCACAGAATTCAGCAAAACACTTATCTCCAATAGAAGAAGCTCTTATTTTGTAAGAATCCAAGGCCTGCTCATATGATTTTGTATGACTAGATACCTATAAAATATCATTTATATGATTACGAGTAAGGCTGATACGTCCACGTAAGGACACGTTCAAGTGTGGGGATGGACAGAGCTTAAATGAGCAGTTCAGAAAGTAAAGTTACTATGTTGAAAGCATAAGTTACATAAATAAGATTCACAGTATGAATATCAGTTTCCACATTTCATGGTTTAAATCTTTACCACTTTTTTCTTTTTCTTTTTTTTTTTTTTGAGACAGCGTCTCACTCTGTCCCCCAGGTTGGAGTGCAAGTGGCACAATCTGGGCTCACTGCAGCCTCCGCTTCCCAGGCCCAAGCGATTCCCCTGTCTCAGCCTCCCGAGTAGCTGGGATTACAGGCATGCACCACCATGCCCAGCTGATTTTTGTATTTTTAGTAGAGACGGGGTTTCACCATGTTGGGCAGGCTGGTCTCCAACTTCTGACCTTAAGTGATCCACCCGCCTCGGCCTCCCAAAGTGTTGAGATTACAGGCGTGAGCCACTGTGCGCTAAAATATTTATCTCTTTAAGCAATGACCTGGGCGTACTTGAAAAGTTACCAAATTAAAATAACTCCTGAGTTACTTCACACAACCTTAGTTATTTCACTAAAATAATATTAAATTAATGGCAAGAAAAAATACATTTTATATCAGAATAATACTTTAATCCTTACTTACTAATCATTATATCCATCTTCTTAACCCAGAGCCAAAATAAACAAACAAAAAATCAAACATGCAAAAAGCAGGCAGACGTATAGGTCCCTTCGGCACTGACTCTGGCTCAAAGGCTGACTACAAAGCACAGGAAACCCTCTGAATGCAGAGGGCCTGGGGGTCAGGTGTGGGCCCAGGAGAAGCATTCACTGTGAAGGTTCTGCTGAGCAGCAGCCACTGGCCAGGATACTGGGTCTCCACACAATGGCACCATTGTTCTCCAGAGATCAGACCCACAAGGAATGTGACTCGGACACAACATCAGATGTTAAAGAAGATGAAACTGCTCTTTCTTCAAAGATGTGCCGAGTGGGCAGGCAAAGACTACAGAAGCACAGCTCCAGGTTTAGAGCAATCCCTGGAATTCCAAATGCAGCCTTGACAGCCAGCCATGTCTTCATAGCTGTATTCGTGCACAGCTTGAAACCTTCTCTCTCCAGCCTGCAGAACCACTCTGAATGTGCAGAGCTGCACCCGGAGCCTCTGAGTCTCTGTTTCTAGCAGAGACAAGGTTGATAGGCTCTCCCGTGTCTCTGTTTTTTAAGTGCTTGAATTGACATGCTAAAATCTAAGCCCACAGACCAAATAAAGAATAAATCTGCCTTGTGCTGAAACATGCAAAGTGACACCTGCCTATTGTCACTGCAGATGTAAGGCCTGTTGTCCTTGGGAAAATGTGTCATAAATCCCGCATGAGGCCACAGAGGCAGATGCTTGTCACTTGCCTTCATAGGGCCTTTCAAAATTCAATGATGTTTTTAATCACAGTTTTTTAGAGCAATCATTCTAAAGCCCAAAGGAAGTTTGGCTTGTCAATTTCTCACGTAGCTAGCCTTTTTTAGGGGAGAGCAGCCAGGCTTTGCTTTAATACTCAGGAATCCTTTCTGTAGACTTTTCTAAGTTGCATAAAAACAAAATTGAGACAGCAAAGCAAACCATTCATTACAAGTACACTTAGTGCTATGTGCAAAGAGAAATCAAGAAATGACATGCACAGGCAGCTGAGACCCAGTAATTACCAAAACAGAATGAATGACACTCCTACGGGTTTTGCTAATTTTACTGATAAACCCTTGTTTGATTAATAATTCCTTTTCCAGCTAAAAATAGTAAAATGCTCACACAGAGGTGCTGTTTGACTCGAAGAGAATCCTCTCTTAAAGCAGAATCCATCTTCTTAACCCAGGGCCAAAATAAACAAACAAAAAAAATCAAACAAACAGAAAGCAGACAGGCATATAGGCCCCTTCAGCACTGACTCTGTCTCAAAAGCTGAGTACAAAGCACAGGAAATCCTCTGAATGTAGAGGGCCCAGGGGTCATTTTTGGTTGGTTTGTTAGAAACAGCATTAGCCCCCAACGAGGTGTGGTTTTGGGGGGATGGATAATAGGATCGATAGGATGATAATATGGTTTATATAAAAAAATTATATATATTTAAATATATTTATATATTATATATTTATATATTAATAGGATCGATAGGATAATATGGTTTATATAAAAAAATTTATATATATTTAAATATATTTATACATTTGTTTATATATACATATATTTAAATATATGTGTATATATACACATATATTTGTGTGTATATATATATATATATATATACACACATATTTATATACATATCTATATTTAAATATATATAATATAAAATAGAGTTGTGGATTCCTTATGTTGCCCAGGCTGGTCTTGAACTCCTGAGCTCAAGCAATCTTCCCGACTCAGCCTCCCAAAGTGCTGGGATTCCAATGGCTCCCTGGTAATAAATACTTCCTTGACACCAGAAATTTATCTTTCAGAGAGTGGGTTCTCTTGTTATCCCCCATTCTCTCTGTGTCTTTCTCTCAACATAAGAGCTAGTCATCTTAATGCGGTGAAACAAGTATGTGACATAATTCATCAAACGTGAGATTTTCTTCTTGAAATTACAGAGAATAGCAGACTGGGAGCCCTCAAAAAAAAAAAAAAAAAAAAAAAAAACCTATTCATAGGGGAGGGAAAGAAAAAAAAAAGTAGCCATCAAATAAGTAACATTTCTAGAAATTTCTAGAAATTCTTTCTCTCTTTTAATCTTTCGCTTCCTAAGCATATTTCTGGGGAAAGTTGGAGAGGAGGTATTGCTGATTTCCACTCTTCCCCCACATCCGAGGCATCAAGTGTCAAGTCCTATTCATTTGATTAAGGCAGCATCACAAGTTCATTCGTGAACAGCCTCAGGGGCTCACTGCCAGCATGTCAATTGCTTGGCCGATTAATACTAACTGATGAGGTAACTTTTGGCCGCAATCATCTTGGATTTGGGTAGTCTCACAGCTAATAACATGCCTCCTTCTCTAAAAACAATCAAACAAACATAGCAAGATTTCCTTTCCCCCAGCAGGAAAAACGTCTAGTGTTCTTGAGTCCACCTCACCTTGAAGATACATTTCCTCTCCTTCTGTGAACATCTGGTTGCATCTGCTGCATCGTGCACAGCTGGGGTGGTAATGTTTGTCACCTGCCTGCAAGAGAAAAGGTAGGGAAGGTTGAGTTTACTCCTTCTCATAGATTCCAGAATCTTTTCTGGACTTGAGGATTTAGAAGAAAAGAGAAGATGCTAAAAAAGGAAAAATAACTGTCTAATTGACCAAACTTCCTACACGAACAGCCCTGGAAGCTAAAGTCAACTTCACTGAAACTGGGAGGGGCTCAAAAGCCAGCTACTCATGCCTGCCCGGTGGGGTTGCCTTGCCTCTCAGTGTTTCTGGCTTCTATGCCTCTCTCTCGACCTGGATGGCTGCCAGTAACACACACACCCTATGCCTGAGATGAGTCACTCCATCCCCCCAAAACCCCACCTTGCTGGGGCTAATGCTGTTTCTAACAAACCAACCAAAAATAACGGCCCTTATATTTAGCAGGTTCTTGGTTTCTTGGCTAAACAATCTGAAAATAATAAAATCAACCCCACTTGCGTCAAGTGAGAACAGCTATAGTAAAATACATCATCTACTGTTTTTATCTCAAAAAGAACCCAAAGTCTCTTCTATGTAGCTTGCAACAATCTTTTGCCAGTGGCTTACATGAAGAGTTTTCTGGAGAAAGCATTTTACTAAGGTGGCTGTGCATTATTCATGCACATTTCACATTCCTAAATATGACAGATGCCATCACAGCAGGTGTTGACTTCCCCAAAGCAAAGCGTCACTGGACACAGGGACAATTTTCTAGACAGGTGCCAAGTCACATTAGAGTCATGTTCCAAATGCGTGCCTGACAAGAACAAATCCTCTCATTCACAGTCTAGCAAAAAATCATCACCACCTAAAAACTCTCAGATATACTCTGTGATTAAATCATTTTCATCACTCCACCACCAAAAAAGTTCATCTGCATTAACCATGTACAAGTCAGTGACCGAGAAAGAGTTAAAAATGGCTGCATCCTGCATCAGAACCTGCATGAAACTGCAACAGGAAATCAGATATCAGGTGGTAATTCCTTTCTCATACCTTCCTGTAGAAACTACAAGATCCGCTTAGCAACCAGAGCATGAGGTGGTGGTTAGCCACTCAAGATAATCAGGTGGAAAAAAAGAATTGAAGTTACTTAAAGTCAAAAATAAAAATCTTTTTAGTAGTGCCTGCCAGAAAATTCCAGAAGTGGTGCTCTTGTCCTTGTCCACATGCCACTTTTTATTTATTTGTAAAATTTTTTACTTTTCTGCTGCAGGAAGGGTAGGGCTGGGGTGAGAATGGTGAGAGAAGGCAGGAAATATCAACACAAAGTAGCTCCTGCCCATGGTACATCTGAAGTCAAATGTGAGCAGAAAGGAGGAAGAAAGAAGACATTACTCAATCCTAAGCACTCAGTTCTAAACTAGGTTCACTCAGCTAGGATGCCAGTGCTGGGAGGTCCAAGTTAGTCTGGGCAGTCTCTGGACTCTCAAGGAAAATGCTAAGTGAAAAAATAAAGGTCCCTTGATAAGAGCATGGTGTAGTCTGCGGTGAAAAGCATACTGCTTGGTAAGCTACAAATAGAAAGAAATGTCTTCAAGCTGATAAAGTGTATTTATCATATTTAGTGGTAAAACCTTACAAGCATTCTCGTTGAAGACAGGAACAAGACAAAGGTGTACACTTTTACACCTTACGTTTTCCTTCTTGCCAATGTCATGTCAAGAAAAAGAAGTATAAAGATCACAAATACAAAAATTGACTCATGTGGCTAGATAAAAGATTAATATATAAAAATTATTGTTTCCTATTCACTAGCAATAAAAATTAAGTAAATGTAATGGGAAAATGGGATCCCATTTGTAATAACAACTAATAAACCCTCCAATGCAAGATCTACATAAAGCAAATTATGGAACTTAACTGATGAACATAAAAGATCTAAACAGAAATGTATTATATTTCTAGATGGGGAATCTAAATATTAAGATGCTGATTTATTAAATATGAACCTATTAATGCAACACATTCCCAGTCTAAATACCCACAGGAATTTTCTCTATAGACCTTGACAGGCTGCTTCTATAAGTTTACGTGACAGAATAAATGCTCACCCCAAAAATACATTTTTGTGTGTGAAAGAGAACAGCAATAAGGAAGGATTTTCCCTTCCTGTCATAAAATTTTTTTCTAAGTCTAAAATAATTAAAGTACTTAAGTATGGGCGTGGGAGTAGAAAATAAGTCAACAGTACAGAAAAGAGGAACCAGATGCACAGCCATACATACAAGGGAATTCAGTTTATGATAAAGGTGATGCTTCAAATGAGCTGAAAGAATGGATTATTCAATAACTAGAGGGGACAACTGGATCTTTGCTTAGAGAAACATAAATCTAGATTCCTAAGTCACAACCTATACAAATATCAATTCCAGGCCAGGTGTGGTAGCTCATGCCTCTAATCCCAGCCCTTTGGGAGGGCTAGGCAGCAGGCTCACTTGAGTCCAGGAGTTTAAAACTATCCTGCCTAAGCAAAATAGTGAGACCTTATCTCTACAAAAAAATGAAATTAGCCAGGCATGGTGATTTATGCCTGTAATCACAGCTACTTGGAGGCTGAGGTAGGAGGACTGCTTGAGCCCAGGAGGCTGAGGCTGCAGTGAGCTGAGATCATGCCACTGCACTCCAGCCTGGGCGACAGAGCAAGACCCCATCTCAAAAACAAACCAAAACAAATAACAACACCAACAAAACCAGAAAACAACCCCAATAAAGAAGTACTGAATCACATGTAGCCATTTAAAGAATGATGTAAACGCATATCTACACACCTGGAAACAGTTCAAGCTAATATTACTAAAAGAAAAAAACCAAGTGGAAAAATAATGCCTATAAAATAACCACATAACCTAGTGGCCAAAGCTATTGAGACACTGAGGCAAGTCTGACTGGATTCAAATCCAGTTTCAGTATTATGTGACTTTGTGCCACAGGTGACAATCTCTCTAATCTTCAGCTTCCACGTCAATAAAATGGGTAGAAATAATTGAACTTACCCCTGCCGTTGATGAGAGCACTATTAGGAACTTAGTATATTGCCTGGCACCATGTAAAGTGCTTTAAAAGCATAATTTTCTTCAACCTCCTCATCCATTTTGTAAGACAGGCACTCTTATGATTATTTATGTCAACGAGGACACACATGAATATGTATATTGATCTTATATGTGTGTCCTTCCCAGAGAGAAGACAGGGAGAAGCACACCAACTAGTTTGCTGTGGTTACCTTTGGAGCAAGAGGTGAGAGCTGGGAAGAAGTAAAGGAAGGCAACCCTCACATTTTCCTTTGCTGTCATATCATCTCAACCCTTTATAACAAGAATACATTTTCATGTTGCTGTGTAATAAAAGAAAGACCAACAGGAAAAAAAGTCCTTTTTTTTTTTTGGATCCATGACACCTGAACTTGAGTGTTTAGCCCAGCCTGTACTGGAAATGGAATCGTAGGCAGATCACAAGCTCTTGGAACCTCTATTGTAAAGCAGAGATGATGATGATGGTGGTGGTGGTGGTGGTAGTGATGGTGATGATTATGGTGATGGTGGTGGTGCTGGTGGGGTGGTGATGACTGTGGTGATGATGATGGTGATGGTGGTGGTGGTGGTGATGATAATGATGACGGTGGGTGGTGGTGGTGGTGATGGTGATGATAATGATGACGGTGGGTGGTGGTGGTAGTGATGGTGATGATGATGATGATGGTGGTGGTGCTGGTGGGGTGGTGATGACTATGATGATGATGATAACGATGGTAGTGATGGTAGTGGTGGATGATGATGGTGAAGATGGTAATGATGGTGACAGTGATGACAATGATGAAGACAGTGATGATGATGGTAATGGTGATATGGTTGTGATGACGGTGATACTGCTGCTGTTGCTGACATTGGTGGCAGTGTTGGTGATGATGTTATTTTGATTACTCTGTGTCAATTCCTCTTTTACATACTCCATTAAGATTTAGTCAATTTGTATCACAATAACCTAAGAAGGCTGAAAGTATTATTATCCTTACTTTATAAATGAGAAAACTGAGGCCTGGAGAGATTTTATAACTTCTTTACAGTCACAGAACTGGTGGGACCAGGATGCAAAGCCAGGCAGTCTGGCTCTGGAGTGAGTGTTCTTACCCAGTACCACCATTAATAACCATACAACATGTACTGCTGTAACTACCTCACAGTGATATTCGTGTGATGACCAAAAGACATTTTGAAAATGGTGTGATACATTGCACAAAGTAATAATAATGATGATAGGAAGAACAATGAAATAACTCTCTGCTCACAGTCCTAAGGTCATTCACAAAAAGAAGGCTCATTAGTGTGGTTTGGATGCCAGTAAAAGGCTTCAGTAAAAACCTAAAAAAATGTTTATAGAGTACATAGAAGAGTAACTGACACAGAATAATCACAATAACATCATCACCCTTTCCCAAGGGCAAGCATAGGAGAGTCACTGTGTTCTGTCAACTCACAACATGAATCGAAGTTACATCAAGGCCCCATGCGGCAGGACTTTGCTCTACAAATCATTAGTAAAAACTCTGCTACATATACACCATGGAATACTACGCAGCTATAAAAAGGAACAAGATCATGTCCGTGGCAGGGATATGGATGAACCTGAAAGCCATTATTCTCAGCAAACTAACACAGGAATAGAAAACCAAACACCGCATATTCTCACTTACAAGTGGGAGCTGAACGATGAGAACACCAAGACACAGGGAGGGGAACAATACTTACTGGGGCCTGTGAGGGGAGGGGAGGGGGAGCATTAAGGAAAAGAGCTAAGGCATGCTATCACCTAGGTGGTGCAGCAAACCACCATGGCACCCATTTACCTATGTAACAAACCTGCGCGTCCTGCACATGTACCCCAGAACTTAAAAAAACAACAACAATGAAACAATTATATAAAAAGAAAACACTGGTAAGAAACCTAACCCTAGCCCATTGTAATACCAGGGATGTCCTGACCTATGTGTTTCCTTTATCCCAAGA